AGTGAGTTGGGTGCCTCCCGGCTCGGGTGCTGGGGGAGGAAGAGGAAAGGGGGAGGCTTGGGGCCCTTCTGAGGGAAGGGCAGGCAGAGAGGGAGGAGAGTCTCGGGGGTAAGAAGATTCCCCACCTGGCACGGAACCCCCCTGTGCCGTGGGAAAGCTGTGCTGCTCCTGCCTTGCCTGCAGGGGCCTGGCAGACTGCAAGGGGGATGCTGGTCCCATCTGCTGCAGAGCAAGGCTGCTAGTGTCCCCAGTAGTTTGCACTTGAGTCCCCAGGAACAGGTGAGGATTTGGTTTTTTTGTCCATTGCTACTTTTTATTAGATCTCAGCATGTGGGAAAATCGGTGGACCATTTGTTGGTGTTCAGAAAGGAGAAGGATGACCTGGAAACTGGGGGCTGCTGGGCTTTGTGTGTACTAATGGAAATGCAGGTGCGGGACTCAGCTGTGTCGTAAAGGCCCAGTGGTTCATTCAGTCCTGCAGAACATTGCCTGGTTGTGTTCCTGCGTGGTGTGGGAATTTATTTAAGGCAGACTCTTGCAGTCTGGTTCTCACGCTGACCCTGTGCAGTGATATTCTCAGTCAAAACCGTGACAGCTCAAACTAGGAGAGCAAAGGGTGCAGCACCTGTGGAGCTCTAATGGGTAGATGGAACTTCAGTGAGCTGTTGGTGGGGAATTTTTCAAGTTACTCCCTCTGCACAACATCTCCCCAGAGGTGTCTGGGCTCCGCGACTCAGCTGGCTCAGCCCAGCACCATTCCGAATTTGTGTCTGTTCTCAGCCTTGTCGTTTGGTGTCCTTTCCTTCGGCAGGCTCCTGGTTTGGCAACGCAGAGACAAAGCGCCGCTACATAGGAGTGATGATGCTGACTCTCACCCCAAGGTACGTGTTCAGGGATCGGGGCCAGCAGGCGGGTCTGTTGGGCAGCATGGCTGTGTGGTGGGATCTTCCAAACCGAGCGTGACTGCCTTGGGAGGATTGTCTTCACAGTTTAAGCATTCGCTCTCAAATTGTGTTTACACTCTGGGCTGTGTCAGAGGTAAATTAGAAGCTTGCAAGTTTCTACACTTGTGGCAGAATCTACAAGCAGAGAAAAAGTCCCTGAACCTACCACCCCAAGTGTGGATGAGTCTGTAATTGTCACTGCAGGGGGAGTTCAATAAAGAGCCCTTGCAGCACAGCATGAAGGAAGAGCTGCCAGAAACGTTGTGTAATTAACAGTCAGGGAACTTAACGGCTGGAAGGTGCGATCAAAGAGTTGGGCAAGTTGTTCTCTCTGGGAGGAGGGATCTGTCAGGAGGATGGCTGTGGTGCAGGAACAGTTCTAGAATGTGGGACTTTCAGAATGAGAAATGGCAAGAATTCAGAATAAGAATTTCAGAATGAGAAATGGCAAGAATTCAGAATAAGAATTTCAGAATGAGAAATGCAAGGTTGCCTGCAGTGGCGTCAAAGGCAGAAGGTGAGAGGGCAGGGGAGCGGGCTGTGCTGGCATGCGTGGCATGGCCACTGCCCAGAGCAGGGTGTGAGGCTCTGGGGGTTCAGGAGGAAGGCTGGGTGCTGCCTCGGGAGGGAAGTCATCACGGTGCTGACCAGTGCAGTTCTGGCAAGTGGAAGAGGATGGCTTGTGTGTCTGAGACTCTTCCCCCTCAGGGTTGTGGCTTGGGAGGAACGTTGTGTTACCCCTGCATCCCCAGGAATGCTCTGGTCATCAGAGAGCACTGCGGACAGACAGCCTGCTTGGCTCTGATGGAGGGAGCACC